TGAAGATGATTTGCCGAAAAGTATACTTTGCCTAACAAATTAACTTTTCAATCTCCCTTTTCCTTGCCGGCAATGCTATCTGCCTACTTCCAGCTGTTACGGCTGTTAGGGACTCTGTCGAGACCTAAGGCAGAGGGGGTCCCCTTAGTGGTAACGTTTAGTTGTTGTTTAACTATCATGGGACTCCCGCATTAACCCGAAAATTCAAACTAATAGGCTCATGGTTCTGGCGACGGCGCTCTCATCGTCTTGGCAACAACAACAACCCTTGACTCGTAAATTCGCCTATGTTCGTTGATAGTTTTCTGCACACAAAACACACCACCGCCAGTTTTGTAGTCATTGACGTGACGGTAACCGCTGAAGATGATGTTCAATTTCCATCGTCGTAAAAAACTGTGGCCTACGACATCCACTGCCAAGTTTGCCTATAAATATCAACACGAAAGTGCTGGGCATGCCTTCATCCCCACAGTGAATCATCGCATCGAAAGGCCCTTGAGAGCATCTGCCATGCTGCCGCCATGAGAGAACATACAGCGTCTATCGATTTCTGGTCACATCTTATTGGTCCATGGTCACCGACGCTGTCCCATCAAGCGAACCGAATAAATGCACGCAGCCTTTTTTGCGAGAGTGGCTTACTTTGTGTGATTACACTTCTGCTCGTAGTCGACTTTCTTCTCATGCTCTCCCCAGTTGGCTTCGGGGAAAACAGTTGGGAAACTAGCAGTTTAGGTTAAGTACGTGTACCAGGCGTGGGTCATAACAAAAAAGCAGCGTAGATGGTGCCAGAAAACGCACACTGGACGCCGGGGGACTTTTCGATCGGCTAAACCCTCCACTCTTGCGTCCTGCAGTCATAAAAAATCAGCGGAGGGCGTGCCCTAAACTTAATTAACATCCCTTATGGCGGGGTAACGCAGGAACAAGAGACAATATAGCAACCATTAGACGTAGTTGCGGTCCTTGGACATCAATCACAGTATATCGGGGGACGCTTCTGCAATGATTTGACATCCCGTACTACATGGCAGTGAAAGACCTGACCAAACCCCGGGGAGTAGAAAGGCGTAAGTGGTTGCAAATTTTTAATGTAGACAATAGAGTTCAGGGATCGAAGAGGTGAACACGTTTTGCCTTATGTA